TTGAAACAATTAGTTTGGTTATATATATGTTAGAGAAAAAGAAAATCAGCAGAGTTAGTGCGTCAAGTGTTAAATTCTCTTTTTGTATTTTTTCATGTATTTATGGAAAAATCACGTGTGCTACAAAAATAAGCTAAATTAAAATAACATAATTCAAATTAATACCAATATTTAGATGATCAAAATATTCCTAATTATCCCAAAATAACAGTATAGACAAAAAAAAAAAATCTTGTCGCCTTCCAAAGTTCAAGTATTATATATAAAAGAGAAAATAGTTGTTTGGTCCCTCTGTTATTGTTTTATGTTGTTTTTGGTCCCTATAATATCTCACTAATTATACTTAACTTTTAATTAATTAAAGTAAATGATTCCAATCCTACTAATAGTGAATGTTAATTTAAACAGATCACTTATTGTTGTCAAGGGTAATTTTGGTATTACAACAGAAAACACTTCTATACAGAGAACAGACCTAAAGCTAGAACAAGTTTATAACTTCTCCCGTAACATCCTTTCTTATACATAACCATATTTCTTCCCTACCGCCTTCTTTAATTTGAATGTAGATTCAGTCCTCTCATACACTACTCTGTGTTTTCGTTTGTTGATGAACAATTTTTCTCTTTAGTTGTCTCCCCATTTATATGAGAATACAATTCAGTCACTCATGCAACACAGGAAACAACTCAGTATACTTATTGAAGAAAAACAATATTATTCAATTTCACAATGAAATTCCGAAGCAAGAACTGTCTACAATTCACGCCGACATGTAAGTACTCAATTAATTTATTTAATGCCGAAATCATTGATTGTATATAAATCTTTTTAAAAATTGAGTTACAGAACGCAACTACTATTTTACATAAAGAATAAATATCAATTTTTTTTAACAAGAGTTATTATAATTCTTATATGTGTAGTGCATATTCTAAAATTATATGACATTACATTTTGTTTTTTATCCACTTATTAGAATACCATAAGCATATTTGAAAATTCAGAATTGCACGCAACTAAATGTGAAGTAATCATACACTATGATACATATAAGTCAAATTTTTAAGAATTGTAGTTTGCATAATTCAAATTCAAAAAAAAAAATTATATTTTCATTATTGGTTACATATTTATGTGTTGAATTTCTATCATTTACATTTCCTATTGGCGATGTTTATTGCTATAACACTAATAGATTCTACTTTACTTTACGCGATGGATGAAGGCAAAGATTAATATATGTACACCATTAAATTACACTATAAGGGTTGGTGGGTGTTTGAGCCAGCGATGAACTATGTTAAAGAACAAGGAAATGAAAATTCCATTATTTAGATGAAGCAGTGTATGAATAAGTTTAAAGTCAATGATAAAAAAGTGAAAGTTTGGTTCAAGTTTTGGCCTTATTTTTAGATGAGTATAAGTCTTTTGACAACTGATTTAGATATATATATTGTTAAAAGTAGAGAAGTTAAAATATTTGTCGGCACATCGAAGAGGACCAGTGGGACTATGATGTAGCTGATTCCTAGGGCAACCCACTACAAGGCGGAGAAAAATTGATAGATGTGAATGTAACAGACAAAAGTGATGAGAGTGATTCCACATGTGAAGAATGTGAGTCATTTTAATGACTAGTATTCCTTGGAATAAGATGATATGAGTTTTTATAAAATCGTTGACTCTACTGTAGAATGGTTTGGCCTTAATGGTAGAAACAAAGAAAATCAAGTTAATGAAAAAAATGATGTTTACATGGAAATACTGATGATGAAAATCTAGATCCAGTGTTTTTATCAAAGTAGGAATTTGGAGGATCCAAAATTTAAGTTTACACTTAATATGTTTTTCAGTAACATCAAAGAATTCAAGTGGGAGTTGAGGTACATGCTGTATTCCAAAAAAGACATCAAGTTTAAAAAGGAATGTACAAGGTCGAGGGCCATTTGTAAGGTGTCATGTTGTAAATGGTTCATATTTCCATCAAAGTCTAATCAAGATGAACCTTTCAAGATCAAGACAATAGGCCCTGACCATTCGTGTGGCAAACAAAGAGATAACAAGACTATTGACTCTGGATTTTTGGCAAAGAAATACTTAGAAGAATTTAGAATAAATCTAAACCGGGGAGGAAATGAATTCCATACTCATGTGATGAGGACTCATAATTGTACTATTACTGGAACCCAAGCGTATATAGTAAAGAGGAAGGCATTAGATCTAATTACAGAAACTAACGAAGAGCAATTTGATATGTTATTGGATTACTGCGCTGAGCTAAGGAGGAGTTATCCATGGACTACATGTATTTTAAAGCTGGATGAAAATTCAAAAACAATGGTTAATGGTAGAAAAATACTTTGTGACTTTATATATGTTTTGCAGCTTGCAAACAGGGCTTTTTATCCGAATTTCGCCAATAATAGTGGTTGATGGATGTCATTTGAAAGTGCAACAAAAAGGGAGTCAACTATTGACAGCAATACGCATTGATGGAAACAATAACATATACCCTATTGCATTCGCAATTGTAGAAGGTGAACTAAAGGAAACATGAAAGTAATTTCTAAAGCTTCTTGATGAGGACCTAGGAATATCACAAAATCCTTTTGCACGGACTTTCATTTATGATAGACAAAAGGGTTTAATTCCAGTATTTGATGAGATAATGAAAGATGTTGCACAGAAATTGTGTGACACATCCGCACAATGATTTCAAAACTGAAGGTTTTTTAGGGCAAGCACATAAGGATATCGTATGGTAAGCTTTTAGGGAAACTACAGAATCTGAATTCTCCAAGCATATGAAAGATAGTGAAAAAATAGATCCTAAAGCTCCATCATGGTTTATTAAAAAGCCATCAAGTCACTGTTCAAGAGCTTTTTTCTCTCATTTTCAAAAATGTGATGTGTCAGACAAGTATATTTGGAAAATGATTGAATCAATTAGGATCTATATGATGTCCAAACTACAAAAGAGCAGAGATAAAATGATGAAGTACTTCCAGAAAATATGCCCAAAATCGTGTTGAAGCTATAAAAAAATAAGGCTAAAGCGACTGAATATATTGCCACTTAATCTGATCAATTCCATTATAAGATTGAGGACATCTATCTTAGAATATTCTCTATTCATCTGAAAGAGAAGACATGTTCTTATATGAGAAGGGACTTAACAAGATTACTTTGTAATCATGCTATTGATACTACATGGGTTAAGAAGGATGAGCCTGAAATATATGTCCATGAATGTTATACAGTTGATCAGTACATAAAGAGTTACAATCCATCCATCCTGCCAATTGTCAGCTTTTTTCAATGGCCTATGACAAGTATTGAACCACCAATATAAAAAGCACAACCAGGGAGACAAAAAAACTAAGGAAGAGAGGGATTTACGAGAAAATTCAAAAAGAATCAAATTATGAAAAGTTTACCTTGTTAAAAATATCAAGACAAGGAAGAAAAAAGTATGGATCATGTGGAACATTAGGGCACAATAGTAGAAAGTTCCCTATTCTTATAGGGAGAATCCACTGTGAAGTTCAACAATAACAAATTATCAATAAGTCAGAAAGGAAGGTCCTTCTACACCTAATAATGCAACAGAAGTAAGTAGTCAAATAAATTGGTTCTTTTCAGTTATTATTATCTACTTAATAATGCAACAGGAGTAGTCAAGCAACTCCAAGACAATCATACATTTTTTTTATTGTAGGGTTCAAGCACCATTATTGAGAGCACGACATCTATGCAGTCCAATTCTTTTATAACTGAACATGCTATAATTATCGTTCTTGTTATATACTAATGTTGCTTGTATCCGACTTACTATCTACTAATGTTGCTTGTATCCGAATTACTATCTGACTTATTTTCTTATATATAAATTGTAGGTTAATCAAGTTAACCAACTAAGGGTACCAAAAGAGCAATTGAGAAGTTTTGCTTTCATTTTAAAAGAAACTGGTGAGCATTCCAGAGAAGTTACAAGATCACTCTTCACCGAGAGAATGGGAACACAATACGTACCAATATCAAAATTACAAGAAGTACTTTCAAAAAGTAGCAAGAGAGTGGGAAGCGATCGACGGACCAAGAAAAGAAATGTTCCTTAAATAAAGAAGTACATAACACGTTTAGATCTAGTTCTTTCTTTGAAGTTATTCATGTTCCTGGATGATCTTGTTTTCTTTTTTGAAATTTTATGCAACTTAAATATTTATTTTTCCATGGTCAGTCTTCATAATTGTTCTTCAATATTACGCGAGAAAGAATTTTTATATAGTTCCACAAAGATAGTATCTACGAAAGAGAGAATCAATTATTGAATTATCGTGAGAATTTGAAGTTACATTTAATATTTATGCATCAGCTGTAAGTTCACAAAATATTAGTTTATATAGTTCCTTTAGTCTATCAATTAAAACATATATATTGTATTTGAGGATAATGTATCGGGTACAATAAAGATAGGTTCAACAAGACTAAAAATGTTATGTCTAATTAACTAATTCCTTTATACATATCTCTATTTATGATTCAGAAATATGAACCAAATCCTCCTTCACCGAGTCTGTTTTCTACTTTTACTTATTTGTTGCTGAGTCAATCGCCTCAAATTCAACAAGCGGAGGTTCAATTGGATCTTCTTTCTTTAGTTGAAAACCTCATAAATTCTTTTATCAAATATTTGACAATAACGAACAAGCTTCTTAGCTTACATATAGCCAATAAACACAATTTTCAACTACTAAATTCATTCTACAAAGATTATTTCTGTTAGAGAATAAAAAGTTTAAGCTCAAACAAAATGACCTACCTTTAAGGAGACTGAGGCTAAAATATAAAGTTTGCTATCATTAACTATGGTTGTTGTTAAAATGCTCAACAATGGTGATCATCTACACCAAAACAATGTGAAGCCATGGCAGACGATTAAGAAGAAGAAGAAGACATTTAAAGATACTGATTTGAAGAAGATGGAAAAGCTTCCTTTTCTGTATTGATTACTTCAATATATATACAAGAGAATTGGAGTTTTGTGTTCAACAAATACAAAGATGTAAAATGCAAAATATGTGACTAAATAACTTTCAACCTCTAACTAACTTGATGTGACATCTATCTAACATTCTAACTAACATTCTAACTAACATAACTAACAAACTAACATAATTATATTGTTAATACCCCTCCTCAAGTTGGCGGTGATGATCTTACAGCCAACTTGTTTAGTAATGCTGAATGTTTAACTCCACTAAGGGCCTTTGTGAGTATGTCTGCTAGCTGTTTAGTAGTGGAAATATGATGTAGTGAAATGAGCCCCTCCTGAAGTTTACTGCTTACGAAGTGACAATCGACTTCAATATGTTTGGTTCTTTCGTGGAAAATAGGATTGTGAGCTATGTGGATAGCAGCCTGACTATCACAAAAGACACGGATTGGTGAAGAATCAGATATAGTTAGCTCATTTATCAACCTGTGAAGCCAAACCAGTTCACCTACAACCTTCCTGATGGATCTATATTCTGCTTCTACAGAAGATAGTGAGATGGTTTCCTGCTTATTTGATTTCCAACTGATTGGACTGTTTTCAAGTAAAACCAAATAACCACTGACTGATCTTCTTGAGTCTGGACAAGATGCCCAGTCTGAATCACAATATGCTTTGATTGAGCAATCAGGATCTTTGGTTAAATGAAGGCCCAGAGTTGGATCTTGTTTCAAGTACCTAAGAAGATGAAATGCTGCCTGCAGATGTGGAGTTCTGGGATCTTGTATGAATTGGCTCAAATGTTAAACAGTGAATGCTATGTCCAATCTAGTGTTGGTAAGAAAATTCAATTTCCCACTAATTTTCTGTAGTATGTGGGATGAGGCAGTGGAGTTCCTTCTTTGTCTCTTTATTTGATATTTGGATCAAGAGAAGATGTAAGTGAACTATGACTATAACAGTCATATTATTTTAGAAAATCTAATACAAACTTCCTCTGGGAGACAAGTACCCCTCCTGGTATGTCAAGTATCTCTAATCCCAGAAAATAATGCAATCGACCAAGATCTTTAATCTTAAAAGTGCTATCCAAGCAAGCCATTAATTCTGTAATCTCAGTAGTGTTTGTTCCTGTGAGAATATCATCATCAACATAGACTACAACAAAACAACTAAGGCACCAGCCTTTCTGTAGAAAAGTGAGTAATCATGATGTGAATGTACATATCCTCTGAGTGATAAAGCTTCAGTCAACTTGGCATACCATGGTCGACTAGCCTGTTTTAGACCATAAAGAGACTTGTTGAGCTTGCACACTAAGCTTAAATCATCCACAGTAAGCCCTTGTGGTGGTTTCATGTATACTTCCTCATGAAGATCACCATGAAGAAAGGCATTGTTCACATCAAGCTGAAACATATCCCAACCCTTTTTAACAGCACATGCAATCAAGGTCCTCACAGTGGTCATTTTTACCACTGGAGAATATGTCTCTGTATAATCTACACCAGCTTGTTGAGTATAGCCTTTAACTACTAGTCTGGTTTTAAACCTTTCAGTGCTACCATCAGATATATGCTTCACTTTATACACCCATTTACATCCAATTGCTTGTTTCCCTGCAGGTAATCTCACTATAATGATGAAATATTTGTAGTTGTCATGGGTAGGTGTATGATAAGGACCCCATATATCAACATGAAGAAGTTCAAAAATGGAATTTGAATGTGTGACACTTTGACTAAAAGGTAATCTTTCTTGTCTTGCCATAGGACAGATTGTACACATAAAAGGTTGTTTGTTTGAAAAACTAGCTGGGATTGTAGGTATTTTCCTCATTTTCACAAAAGGCACATGGCCAAGTATATTATTCCAGAATAGGTCTACACCATGTTCAGTAGATATAGTATCAGAAGTAGAAGAACATACAGTCGGATCAGTACATTTGTTATTATCATGTAAGGCTTTATTTGTAACCTGACCACTATTGCTAGACAAAGAAGAATTATGATTGTTGTGAGATATGCAGCAACATGTGGTGGACTTAGCAGGATTCTTCAGACATCTTGAACAAAGAAAATAAAGTCCTTCTCTGCTACTACCAAGCACCTGAGGCCTCTTCACTAAAGGGGCCTGTAGTAAACAAGAAACACTAGTGAATAGAACTACAGTTCTCATTGAAAGAGTTAATGAGTGAACTAACACTAGATTGTATTTAAAAAAAGGTACATATAGCACATTGTGTAAAACAATTTCAGATGTGATCACTACATTTCCAAATTCTATCACCTTAACTTTGTATCAATTGGGTAAAGAAACAACCATAGGATAAGACATGGTTTGGATATTGGTTAGTGAGGATTTGTTAAAGGTTATATGGTTTGATGCCCCCGAATCAATGATCCATAAGGCAGCACTTGATTTGAAACATTCACATGAAGGATTGCCAAAATCAATAAATGAAGAACATACTATAGTACCTCTGCAAAATTCACAGAACCAGCTTCCATGTTTGAATTCTTTAAATCGGCTCCTTCAACTCGAAAATTCTGCAAAAGTTTTATCATGTTATCATATTGATCTTTAGTAACTGTGATCTTTTGATTCTTATTACCCTGCATACAATCTTCTCCTTGTGCAGATATCATATCATCAGAAGATCCATGAACATTAGCTACAACTCTCCTTCCTCTATATTCATGATTAGTGTTCTGCCTTGCATGAGATCCATTGTTCCTGTTAGTCTGATTAGGATATCCAATCAACTTATAACATTTCTCCCTGATATGTCCTGTCTTTTTGCAGTAACTACAAACCATAGCACTTCTATTGCTACTATTACCTGGAAAATAGTTGGACCCTCCATAATTGTTGTTATTTCCTGAAGTATTTCCAGAGTATTTATCATTAGAGAATGATGCTTTGTAGTTCCTTCCTGTTGATCCCTTTCCATTATTATTAGATGAGTTCACATTCAAAGAAATTGATTCCACAGGAATTTGATTAGCAGGTTTGAATTCTCTTTGCTTCTTCTCTTGAATCAACAAGGAGAAAGCCTGTGCCATTGTTGGAAGAGGATTCATCATAAGAATGTTGCCTCTTATCACAGTATACACTTCATTCATTCCCATTAAAAATTTTATGAAACGTCTATCTTGTTCTGCTCTGTACAATCCATCCTTGGCTCCACAATTACAAGCACAAGAACACTGATTCTTTAAATTAAAAGTACTCAACTCTTCCCAAAGCTTTTTCATTCTAGTGTAATAGACTGTGATGTCCAAACTTCCCTGTGTGAGATCATTAATCTCCTTTTGAATTTGATATTACTTTGCTTCATTCGTTTGATCATAACTATCTTCAAGTTCCTTCCAAAGTTCCACTGAATCACTAACATACTCTACACTATCTGCAATTTCCTTAGTAAGAGAGTTTAGGATCCAGGAAGTTACCATATCATCACATCTCTGCCATTGATGCGACTGGTTTGAATTTGCAGCTGGTTTAACACAGTTACCATCGATGAATCCAAGCTTGTTCTTCATTGATAAAGCTCTCATAACTCCCCCTCTCTAGGATCTATATCCTGTTCCATAAAATTGAACTAGAACCAGTACCATACCAGGGCTATCCGAAGGATGTATGTAGAGAGTGTTGTGTGCATCAATATTAACAGAAGTTCCTTGTGCTGACGGAACATTTTCAGAACCTGTCATGATGAAGAATCGACTGGACCCAAGAAAATCAACTAAACAAAGAAGAATCAATAGAAGATTCAGATCAGAAACAGGAAGAGTAGCCTTGCTCTAATACCATGTTAAAATGCTCAACAATGGTGATCATCTACACCAAAACAATGTGAAGCCATGGCAGTCGATTAAGAAGAAGAAGAAGAGATTTAAAGATACTGATTTGAAGAAGATGGAAAAACATCCTTTTCTGTATTGATTACTTCAATATATATACAAAAGAATTGGAGTTTTGTGTTCAACAAATACAAAGATGTAAAATGCAAAATGTGTGACTAACTAACTTTCAAACTCTAACTAACTTGATGTGACATTTAACTAACATTCTAATTAACATAACTAACACACTAACATAATTATATTGTTAATAGTTAGTGATCAACTAGTGCTTCCAACCATCATTTACATCAGCAGTTTAAGGGAAAACAAGAAATTATAGACCATTTCAGGGCATATCAACAAAGTCAACAAGGACCCATATAGCTGAGTCCAACTTTCTTGCGACTGACATATGATTTTTTACATCAGTGATTTCTATGTGTTATATGCTTCGTTTGATTTATATTAAGAGCCCGAGCAAATAAGGTTGCCACTTGTTTTCTCTTTGTTCGTAAAGTGTAACAGAAATGATTAAGAGTGTATTTATCTTTATACAAACATTCTGAATTCAGATCTTAGTTGCCAAAGAAAGTTATTCAAATGCTTGAAGTTGTCCTAAAGAGATACCTTTGGACTGTGAAGGAAGAAATGTCACGGAAAGCACTGTTAGCATGGGAAAAATTTTGCCAATTGAAAGAGGGCAGGTGAATTTAATGTCACTGTTTGATATTGTAACATGAAACCAGTGAAAATTGAACAACTAAACTATTTTAAATAAATTGGTAGGCTGATTATCTTTACATATTATAGCAGTCATATGATACAACAACGGAAGGAATGCCATGGAAGAAAGCATCTCGTGCACCACCCGCTATCCCTGAATAAACACTGCCTTTCCAGCGCTAGGTCAAATTTACACTGGCACGAATAATAAAAAGGGCAATCTCTGGCAACTTAAGTTTGAGAAATAAGAACCAAGAAAGGATAAACTCATACTCTGGTCCAAGGCCTAAATGAAAGAAGAAATATGTACTCTACTGTACCATTTCAAAGAACATAAGACATTGTTTTCTATAATGTTTCATGTATATATAAGTTGTGCACGGTTAAAAATGTGAAAATAAGTCAAATGAATAATTATAACTAATACAAATTGCACAACTAACAAAAAGAAAAGAAGGAAATTGATGAAGGGTATGAAAATTAAGCATTTCACAGAATGGATCTAAAGGCTCGATAGAAAACTTTACGTACATGTCGTAACCAAAATTGTAGCCTAAATTAATGCCAATGACAACCTGCAAGCCTAAGTTGATGAGAGTTTACATACTGTGTTCAGACAAGCTAGTAAAAAGAATGAAACAGCCTTAAAGAAAATTTTAGTTTTGTACATGTATGTCCAATATGTATTTTTTTTCCATAAAGATGAAATAGAATAAAACTATATAAACTTAATGAAGATCACTAATAGTTCATACACAAATATGTGATAAGTGAAGCTACATGCTAAATCAATTTATAAATAAAGCATTAGTCTCAAAAGATACCAGATGAGGTATTGAAGGAAAGATCTTTTTGGAGATCCTAGGGAAGTTACAACTTACAAGCACAAAACACAACAATTCTTAATTATCTATGCGTGGTAACCGACTTTAAGAGACACTGTAGGCAATTATTCTTTTTTTCTTTAATTTAAGATAGCATATCTCTTGTGGCTTATGGAGGGTTAGTAGGATTGTTTTAATTTAAGATAGCATAGCTAAACACATTTTATTGAATGACTTGAACTGAGAAGTGTGTTTTCTCTAGGACTTAATGTTTATCCCTAGATTTAAGCATTGAATGACTTGAACTGAGAAGTGTGTTTTCTCTAGGACTTAATGTTTATCCCTAGATTTAAGCATGTAGCTTTCTCTGTCCCCCTTCGTCGGGCGGTGCTTGTGTGGAGGGTGCTCCATCTGAAATAATCCTTGAAGCTCTCACCTTACCAACAAGACGAGAGTTGACGGTTGTTGGTGTTGACGTAAGCATTAAAAAAATCACACTACCAAATCAATTGTACCTACCTTGAACTTAAGTTACCATGTACAATTTTTTCTTAAGCAAAAGCTTCATATATCAAATCAGATAAAACATAAAGATTAATCGTAAATTTCGATAAAAACAACCGAATTCAAGAAACAAAAAGGCTGGACGGAGCTTGCAAGAAAAAAATTAGAAGAGGGATGGGAAAAAATACCTCTAGCTCAAACCAAAAGAGTGAAGAAAACTAAAACTTTGATAAAAATTTGAGCAAAATTCCTTCAGATATGAGCTCTACCTTGAATTTTCTCCTAAAATTTCATCAACAATTTGTTGAGTTCATCCCTGCTGAAGCAAAGAAGGAAACGAGAGGGAGATAGAGATATCATTTTGAGAAATGAGTTTTACTTTGAAGCTTCACTTTCCCAAATGAACGACATTACTTTGGAAAGTGCCATTCACGGTGAATGGGTTAATTCACGTGAACTCAAAAAAAATATTATTACTTATATATATATCATTATTGTAATATAAAAATTATCCTTGACAACAATAGTTGAGCTGTTTAAATTAACATTCACTGTCAGTAAAAAAACTTAAATCACTTACTTTAATTTATTAAAGATTAAGTATGACTAGTTAAATATCATAGGGACAACAACCATCATAAGGCAATAACAGAGGGACCAAAATAATTATTTTCTCTTTATATAAATATACTTTTTACCAAATATTATATGATGGAATATACTTGATATAAAGTATTATATACTTGAGGTTTACGTTCAATGAAAGCAAATGAAGAAATAAGAATTAATTTGAACTTGATATCAGCTTACTAAAAATAATTGTTACTATGAGTTATAGTTTTTATATTGCCTCGTCAAATTTGAAAAACTATAATTTTAAACTGAAAATTCTTCATGATCACAATGTAAGTAAAAACATCTTGAAACATATTCTTTTGTTGGGTTATGGGTCTTTTTCCCTTCCTATGTAGATAAATAAAAGCCCAATTTGGACCAACTCATTTTTGCCCATAGGCCCATTCATATGAGGCAAATATAAGCCTATTTAGGTCTTATTTTCATACACACAGAGAGTTTTTTCAGCAGCCAAAAAGAGAGAAAGAGAGCAGTTTTTGCAGTCAAAATTCAGCCTTAATAGCCAACTTCAAATTGCGATCTCCGCTTCGTTTCTTGTCCGATTGAGCTAATTTTTGGACAGCATATTATCTTCATCTCAATCTTTGATTAGGAACTGACAGAGTGAGATTTGGTGGCATGCAGCTTCAGTTTTGCTGTCGTGAATAGTAGCTGCGAAATTTGTGATTTTGCTCCTTTAATTCTCTAGATTTGGTTCAATCTGATTTTGTTGTTGCTCGTTGTTTGGCACTTGTTTTGTGGCCAATTTTGGAGAAAAATATTGTAACTCTTGGTGATTATAGTAGAGCTTTTTGGTCGCGTGGTTTTTTACTCTTCACATCGAAGGGTTTTCCACGTAAATCTTGGTGTCTTGTGTGATTAGTTTATTATTGCCTTGTTATATTTGTTTGATTGAATTACTTGTTGCCTTACTATCATATTGCTTGTGGTTGTTTGTCTTCTCTTGGTTTAAATTGAAAAAGGAAAGTATAGACTTGAATATTCTTCTGCTGTTATCCTGTCAGACATTCTTTGTTAGTGCCTTGTCTTTCCCAACAAAGTGGTATCAGAGCATTGATTATTGTTGATTGTCGTTTTGAATGATGGAGGCAAATATGAGCAAAATGGTGTGTTTAAATGGTAGTAACTATCATATTTGGAAAGGCAAGATGAAAGATCTTCTATTTGTCAAGAAGATGCATTTACCTGTGTTTGCTTCTAATAAGCCTCAGTTTTTGAATGATGAAGAATGGCAATTTGAGCATCTACAGGTTTGTGGCTACATTAGACAATGGGTTGAAGATAATGTTAGAAATCATATTGTGAATGAGACACATGCAAAAAGTTTGTGGGACAAGCTCGAGACACTTTATGCTTCGAACACTGGCAACAACAAGTTGTTCTTATTGAAACAATTAATGAATATCAGGTATAAAGAGGGCACTCCTATTTCTGATTATATTAATGATTTTCAGGGTGTTCTTGACCAGCTGTCCGGAATGAGTGTAAAGTTTGATGATGAGATACAGGGACTTTGGCTTCTTAATACTCTACCAGAATCTTGGGAAACTCTTCTTTGACTAATTCTGCTCCCAGTGGTGTTGTAACCATGGAATATACTGAGAGTGGTGTCTTGAATAAAGAAATGAGAAGAAGATCTCAAGCCTCATCTTCTTCAGCTTCACACTCCGATGTTTTGGTTATTGAAGATAGGGGGAGAAACAAGTCCAGAGGTCAGAATGATAGAGGTAAAAGTAGAAGCAAGTCAACGTCTAAATACAAGAATATTACATGTGACTATTGCCACAAGAATGGGCATATCATGAAATATTGTTACAAGCACAAGAGAGATATGAGACAACAAAAGAGAGAAGGCGATAATGAAAATTGTGTTGTTGTTGTTTCTAATGACGATCTTCTTTTTTCTTGTGATGCAAATGCCATTAATCTTGTTCGTGATGAGTCTAGCTGGTTTGTGGATTCTGGTGCTACTTCTCATGTCACGCCAAAGAAGGAATTATTTTTTTCTTATACTCCAGGTAATTTTGGAACGTTGAAAATGGGCAATAATCATGAAGTTGAAGTTATTGACATTGGGACATTTTGTTTGGAAAGTAACAATGGTTCCAAACTAGTTCTCAATAATGTCAAGCATGCTCCAGATGTTCGCTTGAATTTGATTTCTGTGGGATATCTTGATGATGAGGGTTATGTTAATACACTTGGTGTTGGCCAGTGGAAGCTTACTAGAGGTTTGATGGTTGTGGCCCTTGGTGACAAGTTGTCTAACTTGTATGTATTTCAGGGCTCCATGTCCATAGACTCAGTAAATTTGGTAGAGAATGATACTTCATCAGAGTTATGGCATAGAAGGCTGAGTCATATGAGCAAGAAGGGTATTGATAGTTTGGCTAAAAAAAATTTGCTTTCTGGAGTGAAACAAGCAAAGTTGAAGAAATGTGTTCATTGCTTAGCCGGTAAACAGAAAAGAGTTTCTTTTCAGAGTCATCCGCCTTCAAGAAAGCTTGATTTGCTGGAGTTGGTACATTCTGATTTGTGTGGTCCTTTTTAAGGTAAGATCTCATGGTGGTGCACTTTACTTTGTGAATTTTATTGATGATCATTCTCGCAAACTCTGGGTATTTCCTTTGAAGTCCAAGGATCAAGTACTTGATGTGTTCAAAATTTTTCAGGCCTTAGTTGAAAGACAAACAGGGAAGACATTGAAATGCATCCGCTCAGATAATGGTGGTAAGTATATTGGTCCTTTTGATAGATATTGCAGAGAACAGGGTATTAGGCATCAGAAAACTCCCCCAAAGACTCCTCAGTTAAATGGTTTAGCAGAGAGGATGAACAGAACTCTAGTTGAGAGGGTTAGATGTATGCTTTCAGATGCTAAGCTGTCAGATTCCTTTTGGGCAGAAGCACTTAATACTGCTGCTTATGTTATCAATTTATCTCTTGTTGTTGCTTTAGATGGTGATGTCCCTGACAAAGTTTGGACTGGTAAGAATGTTTCTTATGATCATCTTAGAGTCTTTGGGTGTAAAGCCTTTATACATGTTCCTAAGGATGAAAGGTCAAAGTTGGATGTTAAAACTAGGCAGTGTATCTTCATTGGTTATGGTCAAGATAAATTTGGCTATCGTTTCTATGATCCTGTTGAGAAGAAACTTGTTAGAAGCTGTGATGTTGTGTTCTTTGAAGACCAAACAATTGAAGATTTTGACAAAGCTGACAAGGCTAATTTTCAGACTAGTGAGAGCTTAGTTGATGTTTATCCAGTTCCTTTGACTATTGCACCGGAAGAAAATCTTCATAATGATGAAAATCAAGTTGATAATGAAGATGGTGATCATGTTCAGAATGACCGGCATGATGTTGTTGATGCTCCCGTGCAAGATGATGTGGTTGTCCAACAACCAATTATAGATTCTCCAGAGAGTTCTCTCAGACGATCTAATAGAGAGAGAATTCCTTCATCTCGTTATTCTTTCAATGAGTATGTACTCTTGACTGACGGGGGAGAACCTGAGAGTCTTGATGAGGCCATGGAAAGTGAAGAAAAAGAAAGGTGATTTGATGTTATGGAAGATGAGATTAAATCCTTGCATGATAATCATACCTTTAATTTGGTTAAGTTACCTAAAGGCAGAAAAGCTTTGAAAAACAAGTGGGTTTTTTGGGTGAAACATGAAGATGGTAATCCAGTTCCACGGTAAAAAGCTAGATTAGTTGTCAAGGGATTTAATCAGAAAAGGGGAGTTGATTTTAATGGGATATTCTCTCCAGTTGTGAAGATGTCATCCATTCGTGTGGTTCTAGGCTTGGCTGCATGTCTAGATTTAGAGGTTGAGCAAATGGATGTTAAAACTGCTTTCCTCCATGGTAACTTAGATGAAGAAATTTATATGGAGCAACCGGAAGGTTTTGAAGTCAAGGGTAAAGAGAATTATGTTTGCAAATTGAAGAAGAACTTGTATGGTTTGAAACAAGCTCCCAGGAAGTGGTATAGGAAGTTTGGTTCTTTTATGAGTCAGGAGGGCTTCAAGAAGATTTCTTCAGACCATTGTTGTTTTTGTGCAAAAGTTCTCTGATGGTGACTTTATTATTGTGTTGCTTTATGTTAATGACATGCTTGTTGTTGGTCATAATACTTGCAGGATTCAGAAGTTGAAGCAAGAGTTGAATAAGTCTTTTGCTATGAAAGACTTAGGACCAGCAAGGCAGATTCTTGGCATGCAGATTGTCCGTGATAGAAAGGCCAAGAAATTGGTATTATCACAAGAGAAGTACATTCAGAAAGTACTTCGCAGATTCAACATGGACAAAACTAAGGTTGTCAGTACACCTTTAGTTATGATTTAAAATTGAGCACGAAACAGTGTCCTTCTAGTGATGATGAGAAGGAAGAAGATATGAAGAAAGTTCCTTATGCTTCAGCTGTTGGTAGTTTGATGTATGCGATGGTTTGTACAAGACCAGATATTGCTCACGCTGTTGGAGTTGTTAGCCGTTTTCTTTCATATCCGGGAAGAGAACATTGGAATGTTGTGAAGTGGGTTATGAGATATCTCTGTGGCACTTCTAGTCTGAGTTTATGTTTTTGTACAGGAAAGCCTATTCTTTGTGGTTATACTGATTCAGACATGGCTGGTGATGTTGATACTCGCAAGTCTACTTCAGGGTACTTGGTTACTTTTGCAGGGGAAGCTGTGTCTTGGCAATCTAGGTTGCAAAAATGTGTTGCTCTATCTACTACAGAAGCTGAGCTTATTGCTGTCGTTGAAGCTTGTAAAGAATTGCTTT